GCCTAAATTATACGTGATAAATATATTCCTATTTTTAATAGCTCAGAACTATCAAATCTCACTTATGGAGAGTAACTGTTTAGTTATCAGAGGCTGAGCTGGTTGTCACTCATTTATGGCAGCGTTTTGAGGAATGACAGCGTTTTGATGTGATCACCCTTCATGCCAGATGAAGACACGCAGCCCAGCCTCTTGACCACAGAGGCAAGGGGCACAGGTTCAATGCCAATGTGCAGCTGGAGGTGTGCCAGTAACTGAGACACTCTGGAAAGAGAAATAGAGGAACATTGATAGCATCCGTCTTCTTCCTCTGTAACAAGTGGTTTCATAATCTTTTTGAGCTGTTTGACTACACTGAGAAACACAGGCATCATGCTATTTACAGTTTGTCTGACGTCTATTATTAGTTTGTAAGACTCTCTGGATCACTTTCTATCTGTAGCTAAGATTGCACCTGTTTTCCAGTCCAGTGAGAGCCTCTGAGATGTATTGAGAAAAAATGATTATTAGGACTTGGTCTTTTTAACATTTTACATGCTAAGAAAAGAATTCTTGCTACATTTTCTAAGAACTTAAGAAATTTATGTCTTAAACCTCAACCATTTTCAAATAAGGTATTTCCATGAAGTTTTCCTAATTTTTAATGTATATATATTCTTCTGGTTTTGTCCAGAAAAACTGAAGAGAAAAATGTTTCTCAAAAGGGTAAACTGTCATTCTTTTGCCCTTTAAGTTTGCTATTAATTTGACAACAAACTTCTGAAAGCAGAATGGAAAAAATCTAGAAGGGTTTGTTGAATGTAACGGGGAAGACTTTGATAATGACCTACTGATTCCATAGTTAAAAAAAGGATCCTCTTGCTCAGCTCCATAGTAGTCTAGAGCTACGTAAGACCTTTTCACAGTCATAAGCCCACATCAGTTTGGTATGTGTTGCAAACAACCATGAGGAATTGGAGTCCTGAAGTGAATGTTAGTGTTGGTTGGCAATCTCTGTCCAATGAAGTCCAGCTGGAGAATTGACAGTACGTTGACTTAGACATAGCTCTAACTGCACCAACTCTGCAAATCACACGCATGGATGATGCAAATCTTCATTATGGTAATCTGACGGCAAAAGCTTATGGAATCAAACTATCACAGTTCAGATCACAAGCAATTTTCCTGAGGATAACTATTAGAAGATGAAAAATAAGAGATAAAAAGGGGGCCTAAAAGCATTTTGAAAATGAAATGTGTATACCTCTGAGGTCTCTAGGGACACATAATGCAGGAACTTGAACTATAATGTTACAGAACTAATTGCCACAGAGCATTCCAGCAAGTCCTCAGAGTGGTGCATTATTCCCATCAAAATGGTTCATTTGAGCTTAAGACTTTGTAAAGCTTGCAATGCAGACTGGAATCCTGCTGAACTTGCACTCTCTTTAAGAATAATTTTCACTCTACCACATTCCTAATGATACAGATAAGAAGGAACAAAGTAGATTCACTTCCCAGTACAGATACCAACCTTATCAAAAATTGAAAATATTTGCAGTACATTGGATTTTTGTCACACACATTGCAGTGACCATTACAAATAAATTCTAAGTTCCTACTGGCTTTATTTGTTCCACTATTACATTGCATATTCAACTGAATAGAGGCTATTAAGTCACTAGCAATCAGAACTTTTTCAAAGGCAACACATTAGTTGTATAAGAGGAACAATACCTAAATCCCTGAACATTCAATAATTTTTGGCTTAAAACAATAATGACATGAGGTCAAATCCAATGAGATTAAAATAAAATAAAATAAAATAAAATAAAATAAAATAAAATAAAATAAAATAAAATAAAATAAAATAAAATAAAATAAAATTGTTTTCCTTTCCCTGAAACCTGTTTTTGAAGTTCTTAGCTGCTTACTTCCAAAACTTTTTGTCCATCAGGAAGATCAAAATCATTTAAAAAACTGTTATCTCAATGTTATTTTATGATTCCAAAGATAAGAGGTTGAAAAATACACTTCCTAAGTCTTGGGATAAAACCCTGAAAACTGGCAAGATGGTTTAAAACCAATTGATTCATTGGCCTTGTTTCCCTAATGGACTGTTACGGAAGACTCCTATCTAGTATTCCCAATGTCACATTTAGGTCTGTAAAACCCAAACTGGAATCCTTAGTGACATATTCAATATCCACCTTGGTAGGCCAAGTAGTCCCGTTGAAATACTGAGAAATCTGAATTAGCTCCTCAGTGGAGAGAGATTAGGACCCACATTTATTGTGGCAGTATTCTAATCACCACACTAAAAAGTATTCTGGTGTTGAAGTTATTTCATTGTGGTTAAATAAAACAAGGATAGAAGATGCCAGTGGGAGAAAAAATGTATAAATTAATGTCTAGCTTACTGGTAAGGAAACTATCTAAGGTGCAGATGGATGGATAAATAGTTGGATAGATAGATAGACAGACAGACAGACAGATAGATAGATGTGAGGTGGGGATTATTCCCACATAAGTGCCCATGCTCTTTGTTTGAGTTACTTTTACTTTTTCCTCTGTCTTATTGTGCTTTTGTTGTTGTTGTATGCAAACTTAGATCCACTTCATCAAACAGTGAGAAACCCCTCATGTCATAGCAGCCTATGGAGTAGGAAAACAGGAAAAAAAAAAAAAAAAAAAAAAAGAGAAATGTGATTTTAAAGACTGAACATAAAGGGTCTCACCTGCTTTGTAAGTGTGTTGCTACAGAGGCAGGGTTGCAGTCTTATTTGCTCTGACGGTCTTTTAAAGTAGTCCTATCCAAACTTCAGTTGTCAGGAAAGGTCAGCTAGTCATCCAGGTGTCATAAGAGAAGACCAACTTTACACATACAGTTTAAATCCCTTTTATTTTGTGATGCGCAAAAAAAAAAAAAAAAAAAAAAAAAAGCACATATACATAAAAATATTTGACGACTGTCTTCATGTCAACCCTCATTCTCTCTTCTAGCCCAACTAAAGTAATCTCTTTCAATCTTTTCCTTCAGACCAATTTTCCAGACCTTTCATCATCCTCGTTGTTTCCCTCTTGACTCTAGCATCTGTGTTTCTTGATGGGTGGTTGTCAGACTGCACTGCAGTGGAATACATGAGCACTCAAGTCATAACTACACCAATTTTGTGTAACGTCCAGTATAATGCTCACTTTTTGACAATAGTAAGAAATTATTATCCACTCTAACCTGAGTCTTCCATGCAGAATGGTTGCTTACCCAGTTATTTGGATCACTTTGCGTAATTGCTAAGAGAAAAGCAAACAACAAAAAAGACATTCCTTACTTTGTGAGGAAAAAATAGATGTGCACCCTGTAGCAAAAGGAACTGACTGCAAGTGATATACCTTTCACTTTGCCCAGACTACTCTGTTTATACTACAGATGGTACAGGATTTAAGGCATTATCTCCCCAAAACTCTATGCAACGTTTGAATTACGATGCTAGATTTTCACATTCAAACCCATAATTGCTAGATTTTCCCCGTTATCAGATGAGCAATGGTGTTTATTGAAGATTGTCTGCTGGAACCACCTATGCATGCTGAATGTGTGTTTACAGTGATTTAGGCCTGCGTGCTTTATTAATGAGGTAAAAGTAGCCATACACATAACACTGCGTTTAACCAAGTGTTAAACTCGTGGTCACCCTCACACCAAATTTTGGCATTGCCGCTAAGGGCGACGAGGAGGGGGGGGGGAAGCACCACTGGCAGCAGGGGCTCCTGTCAGAAGAGGTGCTTCAACTGAGGGGCTTTAGGGTTTGGGCTGGCTGGGATTGGGGCTGGAACTGGGACTAGGTTTGGGATTGGGATTGGGGCTGTGAGTGCGATTGGGACATGAACCGCCACAACTGGTTGCTCCCCGCGCATGCGCCCTGTTCCCCCCTCCCCCCCCCCCAGCTCTGCACATGCGCAGTACCGCGCAGCCCATCACCACCATCTCCCCCCAGCTGTCCCCGCCGAGCATGCGCACCGCAAGGCTCCAGGCGGGCACGGAGGCGCCCTGCGCATGCGCACTTTCCCCCCCTCCTCCCGGGCGCCATTTAAGCCGCTGGCAGCGCACCGCCGCTCCCCCCCCTCCCTCCCCGCCCCCATCACGTGACATGGGGGCGGGGCCGGGGAGGGAAAGGTCAGCGGCGCCGCCGGCGGAGGGGGAGCGGAAGGTCAGGGCGCCGCCGAGCGGAAGTGGGAGCCGGAGCCCGTCCGCCATTGTGGGCAAGCGGAGCCCGGAGCGGCGGCAGCAGCGGCAGCAGCAGCAGCGGGGGGGGGAAGCGGCGCTGCGACCGGCCGGCCGCCTGCCTGCCCGCCTCCTGCGGCGACAACCCGGCGGAGGGCGAGGACGACGAGGAGGAGGAGGCGGAGGAGGAGGAGGAGGGAGGAGGAGGAGGGAGGCGGGCGGCGTGCGAGCGAGCACTCGAGGCCCAGGCGGAGCGAGGGGATCGCGGCTCCCCGTGAAGAATGTCAGCCACCAGCGTCGACCAGGTACCGGCCCCCCCTCACCCTCCGCTCCCCCCCCACAACCCCCCTCCCTTCTCGGCGCCTCCCTCCCGGCTCGGCCCGGCCGCCATGGGCTTGCCCGTGCTGCTGGGCCGCTCCGGCTGCCCCTGTTTATAGCCGCCCATCCGCCCCGCTCCGCCTCCCCCGGCCCGCCGGGCCCCGCTGCCCGCCGGCTTTGTGTGCCCGGCCGGCTCCGTGCCGCCCTCCCGGCCTTTCGGGGCTGCTGCCGGCGCATCCCCGCTCCCCGCGCCTTCCCTTCTCTCCCTCCTCAGCCACCTTTCCTCCCCGCGGGCCTCGCCGCTTTCTCTTCCTTCCCCCGCGGCCTCCGCGCCTTCCACCCGCTCCCCGCCGTGCCTTCCCTGTCGCTGCGCTGCGATCCTTCCCGGGCCTTGCCAGGTTGTTTTTTATTTATTTATTATTCCTAACTAATCTCTGCTAGGCCTCTGCTGCTCTTCCTTTCTCGGTGCGTGCTTTTCTGCTTCCTCCTCGGGCCTCTGCCACTCCCCAAAAGTTTTCTCCCCGCAGCCTCCTTCCCTCTTTTATTTTTCCTTGTAGCGTTTTGCTGCTTTTGTCCCTCTGCATGCTCTCCGGTTTCCTTTTATGCACTTATTTCTAGCTCAGTGGTCTCTTTGCTTTTCCTTGCTCCCCTCGCTTCTGCGGGGGCTGCTGCTTCTCGACTTTCTTTTAGTTTCGTGTCTCTTGTTGATCCTTGCGTGCCTGGATGAGATATATCACAAAAGAAGACATAGCTGGGGCTTTTAATGTTACAGATGTTTTTTTTTCTGGTTTGAGGAGAGGGGAGTGACTAACCAATGCAGCTTTAGATGGAGCTGTGTTAAACAGGCACCTAACCCTGAGATAGATGCATGTGAAGGCAAGATGGAGGTGGTTATCTCTAACCTACCCTAAACTTTCAAACCAGTAAATACTGAGTCTGTCAGGACTAAAAATTGCTGGTGATGGAGCCAGGAGACCCACTCATGCTTAATTGTACATATATGAGGAGATGAATTAAATTCTCAGGGTTGGATAGTTGTTTCTGTCAGTAAGCTGTTTTATTTTGCTGTAGAGGAATTAAGGATACTGTAATTTGTACTGTTACAGTGATTCTTAGTGCATGACAGATTAACAGTGTTTTGTAATGACTAATCCTGGAAAAAAAAAATTCTCCTTAAGGTATTTCCGTGTGTGAAAGTGTAGAGACTTAATGTAATTGCCTAAATGAGGAATGCACAGCTTGTAGTTCAGCTTGCAGTATTACTGTGTATTTTTATATACTTCTGTATATCTAAAAGGCAAGACATGGTAGGTTTTTTCTCTGATAAATAACCATAAGTCAATTCTAAAGATGACGTATCATAATGAAGTTCTAGCACTGGCAGTAATCTTAAGCTAACTTTCTCTGTTTCAGTTTATGCTATGTTTATTGCTTCTGCTTCTCAAGGAGGGGCAATCAAAATTCATTTCATTGCATTTCCACCACCAGTTAAGCTTCACATGCTATAAAAGACTGTAGAATACTTTAATGGTTTTCCGTGAAATTCTTTCAATTTTAAAACGATTCTGTTGGGTTTGTGTTTCAGCATGTTTTTATAATAGTTTGAATTGATACTTAAATTGAAAACAACAGAACTAGCAAAAAAAATGGAGATATCCTGAAGTAAACATCTGAGGATTCTAACTGAACTTTTCTGTTTTGCTTCCCCCTCCCTTTCCTATACAGAGACCTAAAGGACAGGGAAATAAAGGTAAGTTGATTCCTTGTAATTTTGTGCAAGTCTCTGATCTTGTTGTTTGTGGAGGTTAATGTGTCCTGAGACAATTATGGGAAGAGAATGCAGCTATAGGATGTCTTATTTCAGAGCAAGATGACAGGAAATGGTGTGCCAAATATTATTTCCCAGCATTTTTACTATTGCACAATGGCACATCAATTTAAAATGTTTTATTTTGCAGATGAAGATTAATGTCACGAGTAAGCAGATAACATAGCTATTTATTTTTAGCTGATGTTCTGTGATATGTCTGTATAATCTCTTTAACAGTATACCTTGGGTCTTTCTGTAGAGTGAATAGAATCAGTTTACTAGAATCATCAGGAAGAGTCTTTGAACAGCTTCCTCAGCTTGAGAGACAAGAGCCATGTGACTATTTAGTTACTCATATCTGTGAGCAAAACAGATCACCCTTATTTTCAGAAAATTTCTTGGCTTTTCATGTTAGTATTAGTCAGTCAAGAATGTTTTCTTAGTTTTTCTAGGCCCTTTGCTTTTCTTTTTCGTATTTCTGTCAACATCTTAGTTTTTAAATACCATACTCATTGGGGTTTCTTCCCTCCCACAGAAACAAACAGCTAACTACTTAATATTCTTCCCTCAAAAATACTTGGCAAGTCTGTCCTAGACAGCATCTCAGATTATATCTTACAATTTATTTCTGGTCTGGGATTTATCTTTGATCTCAAAATTTATTTGGGATTTATTTTTATTTAATCAGTACACTTGTGCCAGTTTATATTTTTTACCTGCTCAGTAAGCTGGGCTGTAGAATAATATGCAGCTACCTGCATGATGTATTCAATATGCTTGTTATTTCTGTCTGCAGAAAAGAACCATTTTTTTGCCCATGCTGTTCATTACCTGAACTAATCTAATTGTTCTCAGTGAACTGTCATTTAATGTTATCCACAGTTTACTTACTCTGTCTTGTCTGTGTGCAGATTATCTGCTGCTTATTGTATATGTCACTTATGTGTTGACAAGTGGATCCTGAATCTTGTTGAATTTGGTCTGTTCCCTTTTAATTGTGACATGCATTCAGAGAAAAATGAACCTGTTTGCCTCCTCAGGCCTTTTCAGTTTGGTCATGCTCTCATGTTCTCTCATATTCTAGTACTTGTGGAGCTTTTAACTGTTTCTGTGTCTCTAAAACAGTTCTGTTTTTCTTCCATGTTACTCTTAAATGAGAAGAAAAGTCAGTTCTGTCTTAGCAAGTAGCTTGTGGCTTCCTGTTCTTTGAATTACACTGTTTCTTTTTCTGAGGTTAGTAAGATGCATCTATTAGAGAATCTTATAAGTAGTTTTTTGAACTGTACTCCATATATATGAATTGAGAGTGGAAGTATTAAGCATCTCTGTTTTGGATGCTGTTTTGCAGTTTGTTCAATAAGGAAAACAAGTCAACTTTACTGACTAATGTTAGCATTTTTTTGTGCTGTAATTTGTAAATACTTCAGAATGTCTATCAAAATACAGCTCATAAATTTCTAAATAAAAAGGTTTTTGCATTTTTTTTAATTTGGATTTTTGTGGAGTGCATCCTGTTAAATAACACATATATATGTAGGCTGCTGGTGAGAATATGATCTCAATGAAAGTTGCAGTGAAACAAACCAATAATCAGCTCAATTCTGGTGAAATATACATTAAAGCAAATAATATATGAATCTGACTTATGATTTAGCCTTAGATTAAAGGGCTAGGAGATTGAAGATGGTGGCACAGGGTAGCACAAATAGTTGTCTTTGCATCAGCGACTCATTCAAGAGGATGCATGTCAGTAGCATAAATCCTTACTGTCCATCCATATGTTAGCAGACAGTAATCTTTTTCAGGTGTCACGATATAGTCCCAGCTTAAAGGGGCTTTGAGGGAAGATGTGATTAGTCTGAGTCAACAGACTAAATTTGATTCTATACATAAGAATGATGATGCTGAAAAGGATGGTGAAAAGGTTACTGTTTGCATGGGCTGATAGAGCATATGAGAGATTTAGAATAGGCAGTTGAATGGGTGTATGCATGTAAATAGAAAGTATTTATCATATTGAAATAAAAATACTAAGCCTGCAAATGATAGAAGTAGCTGATCTGTATTGTCTAGTAAAATGTTGTTAACACTTTGTTCTAGTTAATTATAAGTTGGTATAACGTGCTTTTTTCCTTTGACCAGAATGTGTGGGATTGAAGTTGTAGGGCGTAGAACAGTACTATCAATCTGTTGGATGTTTAATTCCAGTATTTCAGAGACTTAAACCAGTAAATTATCTTGCAAGTTTTCTTACTGTTTGTCAAATGCTGTACTGTTGACATGAAACATCAGAAATGATAACAACCAAATGATGTCTTAAGATGGGGGTGGTAGGGACCTGGTGTTCCCCAAGCTCCCTCTTTCCCTTTCTTTTGTTCATGCCAGTGTATCACACCTATGATAGGGAAGTGCTGACTTCTGTTTACATATATGTATGTATATCTTTTTGGTTTTGTAGGAGGCTTAAACGTAGGATTAGGTTTAAAGCAGGAATGAAATGTTACCTGTTTATTTTAGGCCTCATTCTCCACATTAATCAAGGTATAATGGCTGCTTCTAAGGAAAATTTTATTCTTATGCCTTTGGCCATCATTTGCGCGTTTTGCAAGTGGTTATTCAAAGGATAGTGGCAGCTAAAAGAGCATAAGCTTTAAGTTCCTTTATTTGATGAGATGTTTCTTCACAACGTTTAATTACATTGTATGTTTTCGCAGTGTTTGCGGAAGCATACAGTATTTTCAGGGTTGGATTGATACAGATATTTTTAGTAACTGTAGATTAGTTTCCATTAGCGTTTTTCATTGCTGCCCTGTTCAGTTGGAACACTTAGTGTGAGGTTTGGGGTATAAGGCATGCATCTTAATCTGTTTGCTCTTGTTAAATCTGTGTGTGGGCTACATTCTTCATGATTAACATGTTATGTAAAGTTAGAATGGAAAGCCAAAGAAACACTTCCAGTCATGCCATTTCACTGGGGAATGTATACATTTAATAGTAAAGATGGCAGTGTGGAAATATTTTGTCTCTGACTTAAGATCTCAATACAGAATGAATAAGAAAGGAAATAAGTTTACAATAGCATTCTGTTATGTGTCATGGCTGACCAAAAATAATTTTTAGTTATCTTTAGATACCTCTGAAACAAACATGGCAGATGCTAAAAAGATTAATTTTGATAGGGTTCCAGTCCTGACATGCTTGTATATCCCTTTATTTGTGGCTGCATGCTTTCAAGACACTTCTCCCTCCATTTACTTTTCTATTAGAAGAAAATAGTATTTGAAAATCTTACTGTCCATACTAATTGGTTAAGAATAAGCAATGAATATGGTGTGGAGAAAAGACTTTGAGGATCATCCTCTGGTGTGACTGGGCCAAACATAAAAAGGAATACAGTGTTCCAGCTCATTAGTGTGTTTCCATTGTGTTTAAATTTGGGATGATTAATGACTAGAACTGAAACTCCTTATTTATGGGGAAAACAAAATAAAGCACTAATATTAACTTCAGTTGTTACTTAATTTATAAGTATTTTTATATCTTGTTTTAATAATGCTCATTATTGCTGGTCATAATTGGCTGCAGCTAGTATACATACACACTGTGCCAGTTTGTAGCAACTGAAGTGTCAAGTGTTCTAACTTTTAAAACCCCAGGGAGATACACAAGATGCAAGTTGCTTCCCTCCTCCCCAGGTATTTGCTTTGGAACAAATCTTTTATTGTTCTGTGTTAAATTATGATTTTTCAGCTCTTGTTACTGCTGTCTGAAATTAATATATTTTTCCAGAATTTTGGTTATTTCTTACGATTGTCTATTCCATTGTTATTTTTCATCTAGTTTAATTCCCTGAGGATAGTTTGTTTTAGAGTTATTGAAATCAAATGTGAAAAAATTAGGAAGTGATATGGTCCAAGTACTGCTTGGTTTGCAGTGTGAACTTTGGGGGAGGGAGGAGCACAACCAAGCAACAAAACCTTCTGTAAAAAACTGGCTACAACAAAGCTGAAAGTTTAGTTATGTGGTTGTATATACTTCTCAGAAGCTTTTGCTAAAAAAAGGAAACAGGAGTCAACTCATAACTCAGATTTTCCATCTGTCAGAAAATCTCCTGGAACTTCTGCTGTCATGGATTCATAGTGTACCTTATTGATTACTCTAAAACTTGTTTTCACTGAACCTACTAATAAAAACGACAAAAAAGGCATTCAGAAAAGCAGACACTACTTTTGAGAAGAAGTTCTTTATCTTAGATTGAAGTTGTATAATTTCAAATCAGCAGCCTCCTCATTTAAGTGCCTGTTCTGCTTTGCACCATGGGAAACAGTGGAGTTTAGTAGAAATTTGTGCAATTTGACTTTGTTTAAATAATAGCTTGGGAGGGGGAGTTGAGAGATGCTTCAAATAATTTGGGAGCTGCAAAATCCCAGGTAGGTGTAATGCCTTAGATGAAATTAAAAGTAATAAAAGGCTAAGAAGAGCAGGTAGGTAGAGATTCCAGTGTGAAGTGGCACATAAGGATTGTAATCACCCTTGGGAACTTCAGCTATTGCGTACATCTTGTCTTGTCCCCTATGAACTCTATAGATGCTGCTAATTTAGTATAGTATAATAGTTATGTAGCAATTACAAAATTAAACAGCTGGAATAGCTCTTCCCAGTTGTCTTGGTGGGTTACTGACTTTATTCTTGGCAAGAGAAAGGTGCATGTTGCAACTTTCCCTGAACCTACTGAATGTGTGGTCGGGTTGGTCTGTACATATGCACTTGGTCTGGTACTTCTGGAAACGCTGGATTTATTGCCCATGCAAATAAGGTATGACTGTAGTTTTTTTGTCTGTGGAGTTCAGGAAAATTCCTCTTTCAGGAAGGAGGAAACTCCACAGACAGGAATAGTCTGTTCTGGTTGCAGTCTTTCCAGGCCTCTCCTGAGATGTAATCGGGGGACTTAAAGACAAAACAAACTATTTTCTTTAAATTGGCAACGTGGTGTTTAATGATAATATATTCAGTCTCAAAGCATAAGTATTTCAGTGCACAGGTGATTAAGAAGCATTACCTAGATTGAAAGTGTGATAGATTTCCAGAGAGTATACCTAATACAGATTTACTTTTAGTTTCAGTACAAAACGGTTCGATTCATCAAAAGGATGCAGTAAATGATGATGATTTTGAGCCATATCTAAGTAGTCAGACAAATCAGGTAAGTGAATATTACTTTCTTGAATTTAACTGCAACTCGGTGGACTTCCAGACCTAATTTGACGCTTCTTAGCATTACTTGTCTGAGTACCTGTTGAAATATAATTTTCTATCTTATCATATCTTAAACAGGTAAAGTTGTCTTAAATGCTGGAAAAGATTCAGTTGATAAGCGTGCTCTGATATCTCCTGATCTTGTATCTGACTTCAGAAAGATCCAATTACAAGAAGCTTAAAATAAAACAAACCCAAATATCAAAGTGAAAGCCTACACCTTAAATTTACAATGAATTCATCATATTTTAGATGAAGTTCAAAACAACAGCTAAATTGGCTCTGAGAAAATATTAACTGCATGGACATGATTTCCTTTGACATTGGTAGGAGGAATAGTATCTTGTAGTTGATGGCATAATAGATTGAAGTTTAATATTACTATGGCTTGGTATAACACTTCTGCCAGAAAGTTAATGACTTGTTTTCAGAGCTGGGAGTTGTCTCTAGTCAGAAGTTAATAATCATTAAGTTAACTTTATATGTTGTGATGGCCATGAGAGATGGGGAAAGGACACATTATTAAAAGGCTTTTGAGAATTTTTCCTGCTTTCCCATTTAATCAAATGGTGTGATATTAAGGAGGTATGATAATGATTGTGCCATATTTTTTCCAAAACAACATCAGAAGTTACATGGGAGTAGTCTTTCAAGTGGCTTGGTACTTTCTCACATAAAGAAATAACTGTTGTGATTTCCAGCAAATCTTGATATTTGAATTTAGCCAGTAAACTTTGTTCTGCAAGACCACAAATTATACTTAACGGAAAGCTTATGGTTTGAGTATTGTTCCTCCTGGAACAAATAGACATCCTTACATCCTTTCTGCCATCATGTTCCTGCAGCTGTCTCCTATTAAAAGTGAGAAATCTGACAAAAAAAGAAACAAAATAGCAAAACTTTAAATCCTAGTTGCAGATATGCTTCTCTGCTTATGAAACTACTGTTATGACTCCGTTTTTAAAATGGTTTGTGGAAAAAGTGGCCAATTCTAACAGGTATTCGTGTTTGTTACCTGTGAGCAGTGGTGAAAGTATAATTTCATTCATGTAATCCTTAAAAACATTTGGATGGTATTAGAGATTTTTTTGGCTTGTGGATATAGTCTATATTGCTGATCTTTTGTTCTGTTCTCTTGCAGAGTAACAGCTATCCACCAATGTCAGACCCATATATGCCTAGTTATTATGCTCCATCCATTGGATTTCCGTACTCTTTAGGCGAAGCAGCATGGTCAACTGCAGGTGACCCTCCAATGCCATACTTGACAACTTATGGACAGATGAGTAATGGTGAACACCATTACATACCTGATGGTGTGTTTAGTCAACCTGGGGCATTAGGAAATACCCCTCCGTTTCTTGGGCAGCATGGATTTAATTTTTTTCCTGGGAATGCAGACTTCTCTACATGGGGGACGAGTGGATCTCAGGGACAATCAACGCAAAGCTCTGCTTACAGCAGCAGCTATGGCTATCCACCTAGTTCTCTTGGGAGAGCCATAGCAGATGGACAGGCTGGATTTGGCAGCGATACTCTGAGCAAGGTGCCTGGTATTAGCAGCATTGAGCAAGGCATGACTGGACTGAAAATCGGTGGAGATATGACGGCTGCTGTAACAAAAACTGTAGGTTCAGCTCTGAGCAGTACAGGTATGACAAGCATTGCAGCCAACAGCGTGCCCCCAGTTAGCAGTTCAGCACCTAAACCAACCTCATGGGCTGCCATTGCAAGGAAGCCTGCTAAACCTCAGCCAAAACTCAAGCCTAAAGGTAACGTGGGCATTGGGGGCCCTGCTGTACCACCCCCACCTATAAAACACAACATGAATATTGGAACTTGGGATGACAAAGGGTCAGTGGTAAAAGCACCCCCAGCCCAACCAGTACTGCCTCCTCAGACTATAATCCAGCAGCCTCAGCCATTAATTCAACCACCACCACTGGTGCAAAGCCAACTGCCTCAACAGCAGCCTCAGCCACAGCAACCACAACAGCAACAAGGACCTCAGCAGCAGGCCCAGCCTCACCAGTTGCAGCAGCAACAGCTGCAAAACCGCTGGGTAGCGCCTCGTAATAGGGGGGTGGGCTTCAGCCAGAACAACGGAGCTGGTACTGAAAACTTTGGTTTAGGTGTTGTATCTGTCAGCTCCTCACCTTCTGGTGTGGAAGTGCACCCAGTGCTGGAGAAACTAAAGGCCATAAACAACTACAATCCCAAAGACTTCGATTGGAACCTGAAGAATGGACGTGTGTTTATAATCAAAAGTTATTCAGAGGACGATATTCATCGCTCCATTAAGTACTCTATCTGGTGTAGTACTGAACATGGTAATAAGCGCTTGGATGCTGCTTACCGTTCCTTGAATGGAAAAGGCCCACTCTATTTACTCTTCAGCGTGAATGGCAGTGGACACTTTTGTGGAGTGGCTGAGATGAAGTCTGTTGTGGACTACAATGCATATGCTGGTGTCTGGTCTCAGGATAAGTGGAAGGGCAAGTTTGATGTCAAATGGATCTTTGTCAAAGACGTTCCCAATAACCAACTGCGGCATATTCGCTTGGAAAACAATGACAACAAACCAGTTACCAATTCGAGGGACACTCAAGAAGTACCCCTAGAAAAAGCCAAGCAAGTGCTTAAAATAATTGCTACTTTCAAGCATACCACCTCAATCTTTGATGACTTTGCACATTATGAAAAGCGTCAAGAGGAGGAGGAAGCCATGCGTAGGGTAAGAAATCAGTATTATAGTAGCTCTCCTGTTTTTTCTACTTTTGGTAAGCTTGTTATTTCATATGACTGAAATCTCTGGGTGTGAGTGTTGAATCAGAAAGTGGTGCTTCCCCCCCTCCCCCCCGAAGTGTATGTACTTGATGTAACTACCTATTAATGAAAAGATTTAAGTTCTTATATCTGCGTTAACACAACAATTACGTATTTAACCACAGTACTAATGTGGGCATTAGCTGACTTCAGATGTGTTTTACTTTACAAAGTAAACAAAACCTGAATTGAGTGTATTAACTGAAGTTTTCTAGTTTAGATTTTTACTTTTTTTGGATGTCATTTGAAATGTGAAATTGCAAAAAGTTTAACAAAATATTTCAGTTCAGGTTGTTTTAGCAAAATTTTAACAGCAAGATTACTGTGAAAAAGATCTTCCGATTTAATTTGTATTTAAGTTTGTGAAATGTGATATACAGTGATTTTGTACAGTGTCAGAATTATTTTTTGGACAATGGTGATAGTGCAATTAAAGTTAATTTCTGTGATGAAAATAATAAATCTGTAGAGGAAAAAAAATGATAAATCTGTAGAGAAAACTAGTTTTGGAGGTCAGTATTTGAGAAAAATGGGGAAGAGAAAAAAGCATTTAAGTTAAATTACTTTTAGTACTTCTGTTTGTCTTGCGTACTCCCCCCCCTACTAAAAACACTTCTATTCACTATTGGCCTCAATATTCACTTTCACTGTATTTTCTTTCCAGGCTTGCTAGTAACAGTAAATACATGACTTGTCTCATGGTGAGAAGCATTTCAGGGGTGTGGAACTATTGTACTAGTTTGGTGTGCAAGTATTCAGAAGTGAGAATTTGCATTACTGGGGTTTGGTGGTAGTACTTTCTGTTCATCCATTGCACCACCTACTGAACAAAACCCCAAAACTCTAGGGGTTTTGCTAATTAGGAAACTTGTGGGCTGTAAAGTGCTGAATTTGTTTTCATTTGAAGCTGCCACCATTCTGGCTGTGTTACCTGCTCCACTATCTCCTTACTTCTGTTAGGTTTCTGATAGTGTCTAGTGATTCTAGCCCTTGAACATACCTAATCCTTCAACATATGTTTGGCATCTCCTCTAGACAGGTGTCATGTATACCCAAATTCAACTTTGTAGTTTTGTTGCACAACTTTGCAATAAATTATGTTGGAGGTTTTTTATTTGTAGGCAGGATGAATATCTGTACGGGTAATGCCTTTTAAATATACGTATTGTTTTTTTCCTTTTTAAAAACAGAGTTGGCCCTAAATCAGTATTGTTGCTTCTGTGCCATCTTGATGATGGGAGATTGGGCCACATTCATATCTAATATACTATGTATGGGGAAAACTGATTTTTTTCGGGCTTTAATACAACATTATTGGTAATGTTTCAGAAGGATTATAGTGTTTCTCTATGGCCTTCCTGTTTCAGAGGTTTCTTATTTCTGATTATTTAAGACACTTTCACACATACCTTGGCTGCTTCAAAAGCTGATACTTCTGTGAAAGAACTTGTCAAAGGAGTCATAATTCAGACATGCCCTAGCAGCTGCTTTATTTGTGGTTTTGGTTCCTCTGCAGTAGCTAAAAGCCATGAAATGTAATTGGGGGCGGGGGGGAGGGAGCATGGGTTTCGTAGTGTTTCTGTGTATGATAAACTTAAAAATCAAATTACTAAACTCAGCATTTAGTGGGTCTCTAGATGACAATGAGGTTATGTATATTTTGTGTAATAAAGGAACATTGCTATTTCCTGTAATCTTCTTGGTGAAGCACGCATTATCCATATGACTCAAGTAGTGAGCTCTGCTTTTCTCTGCTGAAGCAGCTGCCTTTCCCAGCACTAATGAGAACAAACATACTTGCCCTGATACTTGCACAGGAGGCATTGATCCTTCTCCAGCATTGTACAACTTGTTTTTGTGACCAATTCTTAAACAAATAATGACTTTAGTGCTGGATATCTAGTGAGATTTCTTCTGTCGATGGATTTAAGATGTGCCTTGAGCAAATTAGTATGTACTTAAAATGTATGAAGTCCAAATTAAACTAATGCTAGGCACTGAGATGATTTTCATTCTCTTACATGTGAGTGTTGATTTAAAACGTCTAGGCTTCTTGTTCTGTTATGACACAGTATATAAACAACTTATCCTCAACCTGTAAACATACAGTTAACTCCTTCATGATTCAGACATAGCTCAGAAATAATTACTTACTATTGTAAGCTCTGTTTTATGGTTAATTGAGTAATCCTTTACCTAGTGCTATCTAGGTTTTTATGGAGCTATATATAAATTAGTGCACTTTCTACTGCCAGTAAAACTGTATATTCTATGTATAAAATGTTTTCTGTGGCAGCTGTGGGGATCATTTTGTTTCTAGTGTTTGTTATGAAAAATGTGCTAATGGCTCTTAATAAAATATTAAGTGCATCAGACAGCAGTAGTCACTTGCGTGTTCCTTCAAGTTCAGTTAATATTTTGTTGTTAAATAGGTGGTAAAAAAATTTGAATCCATCACTGATCTAAACATAACAGCATGTGATTTATGGATTTAATTTGCTTTATAACTGTTCATCATTCCAGCTAACTTATTTTAAAATAATTGGTTGTAAAAGTTTAATCTTAACAGCTCAGGGGAATCAATAATTAATTTCCAATATGACCTATCAGTATTTTTTATTAAAATAGGACAGTATACTTGTAAAAGTGCAGTGAATAGTCTTGAACATTAAACTTGCTTAACTTTGCTATTTGATAAAGGGTTACTTCCAAATGATTGTGAATAATCATTTCAAGTCTAAATATTAGAGCTGGAGTGTGTACTGTTATTTGATGTGATCCTGCTGTGGGTAGTGTTCCCAAAAGTGGGATTGGAAACTAATTTGTGCAGTAATCAGTCACAGTTTTTGTATGGCTCAGGTTAGTGTCCTGTTCTAAGTGTGCAAGTGCTGTAGTCCTAAGGAGCAAAGAAATCTTGCCCTTTTTTGCAAGGTCTGTTAATAGTACGTTGAAATCTGAAATTGCATTAGTCTGTGGTTTGAACTCCTGTTTTGGGGTGTAAGTGTGCATAATTGCATTCAGATTGTTTAAAACTCTGTTGGATTGTCTTTCAACAGAAACCAGTTAGAAAAAGTTTTTTTTAAAGGAGCAGAAAAAGACACAATTTAAGAGTGCATAATTACAGTAGAAAAATAGCTTGCAAAACAACAGTATTTACTGATGATCAGGTGCATAACTATGTAGATATTAACATAGTAACATGTAGATACTAACAAACTAACATGGATTTGACTAAAAGAAACAACAAAAACCAATCAAATGATTGTTAATAGTCTTTATCACCCACAGGAGGTGGCTTATTAAACTACAACTATCTGTTGTCTGAGGACCTCTTGAATTCTGCTCTTTGTAGAATATGATGGAAACAAGGTCCTGGTCCCATGTAAATGTGGAATGCTGACACAGTAACTGTAACATGAAATTGTTGTCTTAATGTAATAGTCCTGAAAATAGTTGATTGTTATCCATAGGGAAGGATAAAGGAAATGCAGTATGTTTGTATTTATCTAATTTGCATTTGATTTTTAACTTTTCAAGAAACCTTTAAATGGAAGGTCAATAAATATTTAAAATGTTAGCTTTTTCTTCTTGTACTACATATCTTGTAAGAGCTGATGCAGATACAGCTGAACTTTGATTTAAGTGGATTCATTTCCTATTTTCTCCTTCATTCTGATATTAATGCAACTTCTGTTTCTCTGATAAGTTGTGTCATTTCAGACTACAGTGTTATGTATCTCCTTTCTACTCTAGGACATTGGTGTATTAATGCTGGATTCGGTATTTCTTAAAAGTATTTTGAAGGGAAGTGAGAAAACATCCATTAAGAGGAAACTGTTGACTCTTCCCTCCTCCTCTGACCCATTCAGTTACTATTTTGTAATGTCAAATTCTGATACAGACACACAATCCTTGCACAAGTCAAGGAAAACAGGTAGTTGATCGACATTTTTAATGTAGTTAAATGATATTTGTACTATTTTGTAATACTACTTTCTGAACTTCGCATAGGTATGTCTAAAGGACATTCAAAATGGTAAATAAAACAGTTTCTAATATCTTGTGAGTGCTATATGCTTTTGTTGAGGTTTTAAAGGTAGTTATCTCACGATTTGCTTGAACTTACATACATACAGTTTCTTTGTAAATCTAGTGATATTGCAGTTCTTAAGTCTATTTTAAGAAAGAAAAACACTCAGGAAGTGTTATCAAGATTTTTTTTGCTCCTTTGGATACTCATAAGATTAATGTGTACCCCTGGTCTTGGGAGAAGAGGATTGTTTGGAGCAAGGTTAGTTTACACATTGATACAGAAGTTTCATCCCATGATGACATACATAGTTCCCATATCTTCATTTGCTTCAGCATCTTCAGTCACTTGGAAGTACCTAAAAATGACCTACAAATTTTCTTGTGGACATAGAGATTTAAAATGTGTTTTCTGTGCATGTGGCTGAGATCGTTGCTTGTGTTTAGAATTTCTTACAGGATGGGGATGGTATAGAGAGGTCTGAGTATTAAAAAAAAAAGTGTCAGAGTGACTTAAATAAGAGTTTAGGTAGTGGTGTGCCTTCCTGTAGTAAGGAAAAAGGTGCTACAGCAGAGAAGGTCCAGTATTGGACTGTTGAATGAAAAAGCTGGAATCTAAGCAAACTCACACGTGAGTTTAGAAAGACTTACAGGGATCTTCCTTTTTCTTTTTTTTTTTTTTGAAATTGCTGCCTGCAGGATGAAGACTGCAGAGTCATTTTTACTGAGGGGAGTTAAATTCTGACTCTAGGACTGGAACGACCAATTTCTCCTGTAATATAGGGACCCCTATTGGAAAAGCTAGGAATGTCAACCAAGTGGTTTACCCTAGTGTTCAGAGACTAGGTATTTTTGGAACCTAATTCTTTGATGTTCCTG